GGTGGTAAGCAGTGGGGTACCGCAGGCTTCAGTACTCGGTCTGATGCTTTTTAACTTGTTCATTAATGGAGTTTGGAGTAAGCAGTGAAGTGGCTAAATTTGCAGATGACACAAAATTGTTCAGGGTGGTGAGAACTAGGGAGGATTGTGAGGCACTCCAAAGAGATCTGTCAAGGATGGACGAGTGGACATCAGTGTGGCAAATGGGGTTCAATTTGGCCAATTGCAGTGTGATGCACATTGGGGCCAAAAATCCTAACTATAAATACACGTTGATGGGGTCCGAACTGGCAGAGACTGACCAAGAGAGAGATCTTGGGAGTTATAGTAGATAACTCACTGAAAATGTCGAGACAGTGTGCGGCTGCAATAAAAAAGGCCAACGCTATGCTGGGGATTATTAGGAAGGGAATTGAAAAAAATCAGTATCATAATACCCTTGTATAAATCGATAGTGCAACTTCATTTGGAATACTGTGTACAATTCTGGTCACCACACCTCAAAAAGGATATTATAGCATTGGAAAAAGTGCAGAAAAGGGCAAATAGAATGTTAAAAGGGTTGGAACACTTTCCCTGTGAAGAAAGGTTAAAGTGCTTGGAGCTCTTAAACTTGGAGTAATGACGACTGAGGGTTGACATGATAGGGGTTTACAAGATTATGTATGGGAAAGAGCAGATCGAGAAAGTACTTTTCTCCCTTTCTCACAATACAAGAACTCATGGGCACTCAATGAAATTGCTAAGCAGTCTGGTTAGAACGGATAAAAGGAAGTACTTCTTCACCCAAAGAGTGATTAACACGTGGAATTCACTGCCACAGGAGGTGGTGGGGACTACTAGCATGGACGGCTTCAGGAGGGAATTAGATAAACATATGGAGCAGAGGTCCATCAGTGGCTATTAGCCACAAGGTATAGATAGGAACTCTCAGGCTAGGGCAAGTGATGCACTGTATTCTTGATGCTTGGGGGTGGGGCAACAGTGGGAGGGATTCTGGTTTCCTGGCCCCACTGATGGACCTCCTGAGGGCACCTGGCATTTTTGGCCACTGTGTGACAGAGTGTTGGACTAGATGGGCCATTGGCCTGATCCAATGTTCATCAATGATGTATGTTGCTTACTTGAAAAAAAAGCAGTGTCAAATGTCTTTACCATTCACTATGTCATTCATTGCCAAAATCTGTTTGCAAAGAACCGCAGTGAGTAAATTTAAACCCCATATGCTCAATGACTGACTAACTCAAGGGGTTCTGTGTTGAGAATTACTTTTGCTACTTCATACTGAATCTCATTGGGTATAAAAAGACAACTATGCAAGATGCGTTTACAACTTTTTTGGCACTGCTGTGGAGTCTTTTGCAGACATGCATGCTTTGTTCAGTGATGAACTCAAAGAGACATTGCTTATTTATCAGTGTTTTTTGAAAAGTTCAGTGAAATGTATTCGCAATATTGAGGAAATGAGGTCAGTCTTACTAAGGCCAAATGTGTTGTCTCAACATTTATTTCAAAGTTGGCTCTATTTAAACGCAGTATGGGCTGTCACGAGCTGTACCAATTTCCAAGCCTATCTGAGCTAGAAAAAAAAGTGGGATGCATGATGATGATCTGCAAGGTCTTTTTGTGACCATTTGGATATACTGCAAGAAGATGTGTCTGAACGACTTGAGGGTCATCTTCCGATGGAAATTCCAGACTGGGTGACAAATCCATTCTCCAGTGGTCCTGGGAGTGGGGCAGTCCTTACTCTTGGGAATAGGCTCCTCCTCTGGAACAGGGTCGGTTTCCTCAGATCAATCCAGGAAGGGGAGGGGCCTGGCCCCCAGGGACATCTCAGTCTTACTGGCCCCGCTGCTTGAGCAGGACGTGTTTCACAGGCGCTCTGTAGAGCACAGCGATCCAGGAATGAGAAGAAGAGAGGGAGAATGGAGAGACCCTCCCTCTTCATTATTTCGAGCCGCAGTCGGTGGCAGACTGCAAATGAAGCCGATGGCACTGGGAGATCCCCAGCAGCCAAGGCTGTGTACGCAGACTCCCACCGGGCCCAGCCTGTGGCTGGAGGTCGCCTCCCCAACCAGCGCACATCAGGGGAAGCGGCTGAGTCTGCAAGGAGACCAGGGCGGCTCTGCAGACCCAGCAAACTCCCCGTTCTCAGAGGACCCGGCGTGTGGTGGAACAGAGAAGCCGGGAGCCTCAAGCCCTCACCAGAATCATGGTAAGCCCTTATGGGGCCAAAAAACCTAGACTGGAGGTGAAGGAGAAGCAGGGTGGTAGACTGGGGGAAAAACCCCAAGCAAACCCCTGAGCTATTCAGGGAGGATGAAGAGGAAATTGTTTCCTGGTGCTTCCAACCTCCCCAACCTGGGACAGGCTGGAGTGGATTAAAGAGCCCTTCCCCCCCCTCCTTTTCCCCCTTCACAGGGAAAGTTCCCATGGAACAGACAGGGAGCTAAAAGCCCCGGGAACGGCCGTAGAAGAGCAGGGGAAATGGTTCTCTGGACCCTCTTGGCAGACTTTCTTTCACTTCCACTTCCATGCAAGCAAATAGAATATGGCTGCCAATCAGACTTGCCAGTTGCCATAGAAAATGGCTGCCAGTCAGACCTGCCAGTTCCTTGTTCCCAGGGCTGGACAGCCCAAGCTAGTTTGATCTGTTGGAAAGGGGGCGGTAGGCCAAATAAGTTTGGGAACCTCTGCTCCACCTTCTTACAACCCGACATTAAGTCTAAGGTGGAAGATTTGCCCTTTGATAGCAACGGCCTGTCCCATGCAACCACCAACGAGCTCCTTACCAATGTGGACAATAATTGCAAGAGGGCAAGACGTTTAGGGGGTCTCACAATCTTGCCAGCCACATAACCCCAAACTGAAGCCCTGGAAACAAAGCTCCATCAAGTGCTCACAGTCCCCCCCACCAATCAGGTTACTGGAAGCGCAAAGGTCCTGCTGCCAGACCTTACCAGCGGAAGCCCAAGCCACCTGCTTCTAAAAGGCCAACACCTCAATCCAAACAGTCTCTTTGACTCTCTTTGACTCATGATTCCCCCCCCACCCCCGGCCATCACCTCATCTCTGGGCACCAAACTTCGTCCTTTTCTGGTCTGGGAATCTATCACCATGGATGTCTGGGTCCACTCCTCACCACCATTTGGGTGGGGTTTCTTTCAACTCTGCAAGCCCCTCATTTTGTGGTGACACCCCCATCCCACTTACTGTGCAGTGAGGTTCAAGCCCTGCTTGCAAAATGCCCCCACATCTCAACATCACCAGGGGTTCTACTTCCCTACTTCATAGTACCAAAGCGAGATGGGGGCAGATGCCTTATAATGCACCTGTGATGACTCAACCATTACATTCCTCGCAAGAAGTTTTGGATGGTCACCCTGCAAGCTATTCTTCTGCTGATCCCTGAGGATGCTTGGCTGGCATCTTTAGACCTCCAGGATGCTTACTTCCACATCACTATTGACCACATCGTTGCTTCCTGGGGTTCATAGTGGGCTCTGACCACTACCAATCTTGGGTATTCCCCTTTGGTCTCTCCAGGGCACTAAGAGTGTATGGCGGTGCTTGTTGTGGCCCTCAGACGTCAGGGTATCACTGATTTCCCTTACGTCTACGATTGCCTGATTGTCTCCCAACCCCTGCAGCAACTTCACCAGGACATTTCCACTACTTTCCGACTCTTGGCCTCTCTAGGCCTCTGTGCTCCCTGCTCAGAGCCTACAATTCATAGGGGCCAGGATTTCCACTGCCCAGCATTGTGCCTTTCTTCTGGTGGACAAAGCCTTACATCTTCACTCCTTGGCACTGAGTGTCATCTCATTGCCTACGCAATCTGCCCTGAGACTGCAGTGCCTCCTGGGGCTGATGGTTGCCACCACCTTTGTGGTACCAAACCACGCATGCTGCCTCATGGTCAACCATATTGAACGCTGCCGACAGGTCAAGAAGAATCAGCAGCACCAATCCACCTCAGTCCAGATGTCTCTGGTGATCATCCATCAGGGCAACCAGCACTGTCTCCGTCCCGTGGGCGGGGCAAAAGCCAGACTGGAAGGGATCCAGGACCTTAGCCTCATCCAAGAAAACCTGAAGTTGTGTTGCCACTGCCCTCTCTGCCACCTTGTCAGCAGCACCTGGAAGAAACCAAGTGTGAGGTGCTCTTTCCCCACTCCAGGCATGTGCAGTCAATGCCTGCTCCCCAGAGCACAGGAAAAGAGCATGCCAAACGCCAAAGACTAGCTCTCGTAGTTCTCAAAGGTCAGGTTTGTGCACAGGCGCAGTGCCCCTATGTGTGACTGCACATATGACCACTCGAAGATCATCAGTTACAAGTAAGCAACCAGTTTTTTGGGTCTTCCTTAGTGGGTCATGCAGACTGCTCTTTTGAATGATACTTTTTGTAGAGTAGGGTAGGGGGCACTAGGGGTGAGTTTATGGAGGAACCAAGGAGATGGCGACCCGAAAAAGTGTGGGGACCCCTGGGCTAGAGCGTCAGGCTAGGATCTGGAATGCCCCCGTTGGAATCCCCATGCAGCTGGCTGGGTGACCTTGGGCCAATCGTGTGCTCTTGAGCTAACCTACCTCACAGTGTTGTTGTCGTGAGGACATAAGGGAGGCAGAGAGACTGCTGCAAGCTGTTTTGAGATTTCATGTGGCGTTTGATCATGCCTGCAGTTTTATTGTTTCTCCTGTGGTTGTTTTTCTCTCTCATACATTGCTTTGGGGTTGTGTTACAATTGTTGGCATGTTGGTTAAACTGTTATTATTTTACTGCTTTTATTTTATATATGTTACATTTGTTTTTATGTTGCCTTGAGCACTTTTCTGCAGAGGCAGCCCAGACATCATAAATAAGCAAAATAAAAATTGAAGGCCAAAAATGGAGCACTTCCAACCGTAGCTCACCGTTAAATTCTGTAATCTAAATAAAATGTCATGTGCTCCTAAAATACGACTTGTGTTGTCTAGTAAAATGAACAATTGTTTTACAGGTGTTCTAACAAAGGCAATTTATAAGACTACTGAAGAGGATAAAAAAGAAGAAGAGGTGAAGAAGACGTTAGAACAACATGACAACATTGTGACACACTACAAAAGTGTCATTCGAGTCCAGGTAAAGGGCACCTCTGGTTCGATTTTGGCTGCTTTGGCAAGCAGGGTGTTGCCTGTGTTTGTTGGGGCAGATGTCACTGGGATAATCAAGGGCATTCATGGGCAGATCTGGTGGCTACCCGGAGGAACAGTTTTTCAAAATGTAATGAGATGTTCTTTATCTGTGACCAGATTTTTTCTGTTGTACACAAAAAACCTGAAATGATCTTATTCAGTTATAAGACTGACTCGAAGAGGAACACATTTGTTCTTGGTGTGTTCTGTTGATCTCTTGAACACATGAAGCTGCCGCAGGCCGAAGAATCGCGCGACTGGTCCATCAGGATCCGTACCGCCCACTTAGGCTGGCAGCCGCTCTCCAGGGTCCCAGGCAGAGAAAGGTCTTTCACGCCACCTCCTGCCAGATCCTTTCGACGGGAGAGGCCGGGAGCTGAACCTGGGACTTCCTGCATGCGCCAAAGAGAGGCTCTGCTGCTGAACCATACCCCCCTTCCCCATTTCATTTTTAGGCATCAATATAGAAAACGTGAATGAGATGAATGGATTTGGAATACTGTTAGAGAGCCAGGATTTATTGGAAGTTCTCTGAATATACAGTATGTTGATATTATGCATGGGTTGTCATAAAGTGACAAAGGAGCTTTTGAATCTGCGTTTTGCTGTTCAGCAGAATAATGGGCTGGGACTGTCGCATACTAAATCCATTGCTGAATGGTGGTGAATCCCATCAGCCTGTGATCAGGGCTGCCAGTTCTACTTTCCAGTGTGGGAGGGCCAGGCTTCAAAATTGTATCTGGTTATCCCTGGCTCTACGCCCAGCCTGATCTTCCTAGATCAGTCTCCGAGTTCAGCCTTGCTGCTCTGGCAGCTGAAATTCTGGAGCGCACAGGCGGGCCATCGTTGAGAGTTAACAGAAGTAAAGGAATTGTTGGTGGGATTGTAAAGGGAAAGTGTGCAGATGGGGTCTTCTGAAGGAGTCTTCGATCAGCCTCTGCCTGCTGCACCCACTTTTTTTTTTCCAGCTGTCAGTACATGTAGAGGTCTGCTTCGGAAACTAGACCTGCCAATTCCACTCAGTTATCCCGTTACCATTAAATCCATGTGGTGCCTGTGAGGCTTGGTGGTAACTTCTGTAGTGCTTGTGCAGAAGAGGGGGTGGGGAGGGGTATATTCTGGACCCAGAGTCACGGAGCAGCAGAGGGCTAGTGCAAGGAAGTGTGTAGTGATCTCAGATGTGTCTAAAAGTTGTGATTATTAAGTGTGAGATGAAGCAAGTTGTGTAACTGTTCATGTGGATGTGCAGGATGTGTCATTACAGGTATTGTAGGAACTCCTCGTTTTCAACTGTGATAGACTTCAAGACAGAGACAGGCAGAGGCCTTGAGCTTGGCCTGCCTCAGATCCCCCCACTTCCACCTTAGTTTGTTCAGAGCCATCCTTCACCACTGCAGTCCAGCACTGAATCAGAACACCCGTTTGTTCTGTGCATCTCTTGTTTGACTCCGTTGTTTTCGGTTGTCTGAGCCTTAGTTTTTGCCTGTCTTCTATCCTTTCTTAGGCAATTTCTGTTGCCTTGTTTTCTGACTTTGTGATCTAGTCCTACTACAGTGCTGGTTGGATGCCTTATACTGTTCCTGCTGCATTGCTACATTTTGTAATCTGTTTTGAGTCACAGTGAGAAAGGCCGACTGTACAGCGCCAGCTTGGTTTGTCTGGGCACAGTGGCTGGAAGCCACGACTTGGTTGGGGAGTGAGGGACCGGGGGGGGGGCCCTGGGGCACGTCCTGGTGTGGTCTTGCATCTGGTGTGGCTTTTGTCTGCCAGAAAGCATTTCTGGATTTATAGAGAACTGTCTTTGGGGGCTTATCTCCAAAATCCCAGGGTTTGGGGGGTTTTTTCACTGCAAAATAGAGGAAGTGATTTTTTTTTAGAAAGAAAAGCTGGACAGTCATGTTAACAAGTGTGTCTGTAAGAGTTATTACGTAAATGTCTGCTTTATTTTCAAGGATCAGGAGCTGGAAGACTTGAAGAAGCAAGTGGAATCTTTAAAAGTGCAGAATGAACAGCTGCAGGCAAGAGTCACACAGCAAGTGTCACAAATCCAGCAACACAAGGACCAGTACAATCTCCTGAAAGTACAGCTAGGTACTATCGTGAGCCGTGTGTGTTGCCACTCATGAGGGCTGTGTTGTAGAGTTCAGGTGGGGGCCAGACACGGGTCATAGGATTGCAGATGGCACTTGGTAAATGGCATTAGCCGCTCTGGACAGGAACTGACTGGGCACGTGCAAATAAATCTGGCCCTGCACAGCCACTGGCCTTGCCAATAACCAGGCAGAATTGCTTCTAAGATAACAGAGAAGCTTGATGAAGGTCTTGGTTCTCTCCTTTCTGTTGGCGAATGTTCATCTCTTGGCAGAAGTTGCTGTTAGGTATCATAGCAGTTGGCAGGATTTATTAGCTGTGAGCACCAACGCCATCCTTCCATGTCTGACTGGGAGAAAGTTCGGAGGTTTTACCTCCAGCTGTCCACAGCAGTCTTTTTGTTCCTGTGGTCTCATTTAGTCCCAGTTATTTAGCACGTTTGAGCAGAGCTGAAGTTTGGTTTATTTTGAAAAAGTTTATTTCGAAGTCTGAACGTGATTTGAGTCATGTTCATAATCTCTGACTAAAAGAAAAGGATATTGTGTAAAATGTTGACACTAGGCTGGTTTTCCCATAAGAACTCTATGGATCCTCATAAAAGAAAGGGACTTACAGGTGACTGAGCATAGATAAACTAAGGGTGTGCTGACTTCATTAGGTAGAACTTGTACATATTGGTAGTTTCAAGACTTGCTTGAGAACATCAGCTATGCCTTAAAGGATTAAACCGAGATCCGCCTGGTCCACTATCATTTGCAGCTATGTGATGGTCCAGTAATCAGCCAGGAGTCCACTGGTTTACCCCTGCCATAAATCACACTAAAGCATAATGTAGTATCCCAAGAATTCTAAACAGAAATGAAATATCTCCTCGCACAGTTCTGCAGCCATTCATATAAGAGTCTATGTGGTGCTGTAAATGGCAAGTTCTATAGCAGTTCTTCAATCCTCGCAGAAGCAGAATGCATCTGTCCTTCTAACTTTTCTTATACAGAGTTCTTGAGGTATAAAACAACCTTCCACAGGTAGAAGGCACTTTCCATGTGCAGAAGGGGCACTCTTTGGATCCAACCCAGTTCTCTGCATGCAGTTATCCTGTAGTAGTAGTATTCCTGAGGTGGGATAGGTTCAAAATGTTCTTTGAAATAAAAATTGTTGTAGAAAATCCTTCCTAGAACCTTGCAAACAAATGAGTAGCTCTCAAATCTGACCCCTAGGAAAAGACAATCAGCACCATAGTTCCGGCAACGATGTGGTCCAGATGAATGGCGTTCAGTCAGAAGAGATAAGCAAATTGCGTGAGGAGGCAGAAGAGTGGAAGCACAAACTTGAACAGTTGGAGGAACAGCTAAGAGAAAAAGATTCTTTGATCGAAGTGTTGGTGAGTCATGCTCTCCTAGATGTCGCCTGTTGACGTCCAGTCTGAGCTTCCGGTTTGTTCTCCTCTAGTGTGTGGGTGGGTGGGGGTCCCTGGCTCCTAAGCCAGAAGGGGGGCAGGAAGGATCCTGGCTTGTAATCCTGGAGGCTGCTTCCCACGTCCCGGTTTTCAGTCCCGGGAGCCCTCCTCCTAGGTAGTCGCAGCTCTAAGGCAGGAAAGATTTATAGGTGTCTGTGTCTCTTGACTGATCCCTGTCCTCCGAGAACCACACAGGTTGTCCTTGTTGTGGATCGCCCGCGTGTGTCGTACTCTGTTCTGTCTTCCACACATTACAAACAGTAAGTGTGGAAAGTGCCATCAAGTCACAGCCGACTTACGGTGACCCTGTGTAGGGTTTTCAAGGCAAGAGGCGTTCGGAGGAGGTTTGTTACTGCCTGGCCCTCTGCATCAGGACCCTGGTATCCCTTGGAGGGTCTCCCGTTCAGATACTAGCCATGGCTGACTCTCCCAGGACCTGACGAGAGCGGACTAGCCTGGGCCACTCAGGGCACAGCAAAGGACATCCGGAGGTGTTTTGCCATTGCATGCCTCTGTGGACTTCCTGGGTGGCTGTTGGGGAACCTTTTCATGCACGCCCGCTCCCACTGTGTTCAATTTAGGGAGGGAGGGAAGCTGGCTTCCCAACTGCATCAAAACAGAAAGAGACAGTTGTACTAAATCAAGACACAATTTATTCCATTATGCAGTCTTAAGTCAGCAAACATTTTTGTAGCATTTCAGTATTCAGCATAGAATATTTCAACACAACCTCAGTACACAAATTGTGCACTTAAAGTTCTATAAAGGATATCCTTGGTCAGGGGTGTCAAGTGTGCCAGCCGGATCTGGCCCACACAGGGGCTCAAAACCGGTCCCTCAAGCAGCTTCCTCCTCCTGTTTCCTTTCCCAGGGCTGCTGCTGCTGCTGCAGCTGTGTCCTAGCTTGCTTTTTCCCCAGCTCTCTCAGTGGCTCTTTTCTTCCTGCTTCCTGCCTCTTGCCTCCCTCCCCCTTCACTCCCTCGCTCTCTCTCTCTCACTCACACACACCTATAGAGAGGGCCTCATGGCTGCTTTGCCAGAGAGTTAAAAAGACAAGCCTGGCCGCCTGCCTGCCCCTCCCTCCCTCCCTCCCTCTCTCTCACTCACACACACGAACACTCACAGAGCGAGAGAGAGCGCTTCTGCTTTCTTTTCCGGGGCTGCTGCTCCTCCTCTTTGGGGGGGTGAAGGGAGAGGAGAAAAGAGACAGAGAGAAAACAAAATTGGAGTCCAAGCCTTAAGACCAACAACCTTTTATTCCAGGTATAAGCTTTTATGCCCAAGCACATTTCTTTGGAGGGTGGGTGGGTTCTTCTGACAAGCACCGTGTACACTGAGGAAATTCTTTTGGCTTATTCTGAAAAGTTTTTTGTTTTTGTTTTTTAAATGACTGGATTTCTTTGTCCTATCTGGATTTATTTTCGTTCAAAAGTACCCTGATCAGGAATAAGAACACTTGGATTGGTCCGTATATCTTGGAGAGTGGAGTGATTTCAGATGCCAAAGGATAATAGCACACGTTGGTAATGAGACAGGAAAACTAGGTCTCACTCCAGTCCAGGAGGATGCAGTTCAGCAGTCTTTCTTTCTAATCTCCTTAGGTCAGCAACTGAATGTTGTGGTTTCTAATGCCAGACTTATGTCTATTTATCTTTTGCATCCTCCTGGACTGAATCCTCCTGGACCTTGGAGAAAGGAAGCCAGCCATTGTCAGGCAGAAGGCAAAAGTCATGTGAGGCAAAAGTCCTGTACAGGGTTATCAGTAGCTGAAGGCCACAGCGCTTAGCAGAGCCCTGAAGCCTCCTGGGAAACAGAACCACAGATTCAACTATAGAGGCTAATTGCTATCGAAAGAGGACTGAGGCTCCGTCCAGCACTAGCTCCACGGCAGGGGTCTCCCGTCCAAGCACTAACCAGGGCCAGCTCTGCTTACCTTCTGAGGCCTGATGAGTTCAGGATAACCTGGGTGATCCAGGTCAGTGCGCATTATTATTATTATTAAGAAGAAGAAGAAGAGTTGGATTCATGCCCCATGGCCCTTCCCTACCCAAGGGAGTCTCAGAGCAGCTCACAAACTCCTTTCCCTCCCCCTCCCCACAACAGACACCCTGCGAGGTGGGCGGGGCTGCTGAGAGAGCTCTTGACACAAACTGCTCTTTTTCAAGGATAGCTGTGCCAGAGCTTGTGACTGACCCAAGGTCATATCAGCAGGTGCATGTGGAGGAGTGGGTAATCAAACCCGGTTCTCCCAGATTCGAGTCCACGCACTTAACCACTACACCAAACTGGCAGGAAACATTGCATATGGAGAGCCAGTTTGGTGTCGTGGTTAAGTGCGCAGACTCTAATCTGGGAGAACCGGGTTTGATTCCTCACTCCTCCACTTGCACCTGCTGGATGACCTTGGGAAAGCCATAGTTCTGATAAGAACTGTTCTTGAAAAAGAGCCCTTTCTGTCAGAGCTCTCTCAGCCCCGCCCACCTCACCAGGGGTGTCTGTTGTGGGGAGGGGAAGGGAAAGGAGTTTGTGAGCCGCTCTGAGACACCTTTCGGTAGTGAAGTGCGGGGTATAAATCTAATCTCATCTCATCATATAATGGCACTGATACTTACAGTTGTCAAAATAAAGGAAGTGGCTCAAATAGGATTATATGTGGTGGTTGAAATTGGAAGCTCTGGTTGTTTGTAGTTAAATAGCCACCTGGACTTGGGTCAGGATGGTCCAGGGTCGGAGGATCCGCCTTGCGTGCTGCAGGTCCTGGGTTCAGTCCCTGGCGCCTCCAGTTGGGAGGATCACGGAGCAACTGACAGGGACAGACTGGGAGCAGCTTCTTGTCCAAGTAGACAAGACTGACCTTGGCAGGCCGAGGGTCTGGCTCCGGGGGAGGCAGCTGCATGGGTCCCGCCCACTTTTCAGAGCCTGTATCAAAAGTTACAGTTTGAAACAATTCCACAGTTAAAAAATTGAATTTGTATAAATTATGCAAAATTGCACATAGAGAATAATTTTGTATATTTGTATAAAAGCACTGAACCAGTACTGTCTGTCCCCTGGATATGCAACAGAATTTCCCCTGAACGCAAAAAATGTCTGGAAGCACTGTCCACACTTTGAAGCCTATAATTAAATCTTCAAAACCTCTTGCTGCTGCTGTTCCAGTTTTTAGCATGCTGCAAGTATTTTGTTGAACTGATTGATTTTTTTTTTTGGTTTCTGCCTGATACTTGTAGAAGTCTTCACCACCCGCCGTGGGAACATCAGAGGGGTCTTCACAGACAAAGACCGGTCTCGAGGTGGAGAGTGAGCTGCACAGGGTAAGAGCCCCCAGCTCATCTGGCCGCGCCCCTTCTCTTGGCAATGGGAGGCTGAGCCGTGTTCTCTTGGGTGCTGCCATCGCAGCCCACCGACTGTGTGTAGTGTTTTATGAAGAAACTGAGAAACAAGCAGAAGACAACACACACAAAAACAGTCTCTCTGGATTTGGTCTTGGGCCAGGTTTGTCTAAGCACAGTGACCACTACTTGTGTAAGTTTCCTAAGTATTTTGATACCATCATCATTGAGTGAAACTATACACATGAAAAGATGCTCACCGCATGAATTAACACACATGTGAGCCACTAGCTTGCAATGTAGGCCATTCTGAGAGCTTAAACATCAGAAGTCTAACTAAACAACGTAAAGCAGAAGAGGAACATGGTTTGTCATTCTTTATAACCTCACTGAACAGTGAAGATAAATTTCTGTAATGTGTCCAAGTCATATGCATGTTGTGTGTTGGAGTTCAGATGTTTCACTGCTGCCTTTCTTTAGCCTCTCTGAATGCTCTTCCGTGTTCATGAGCAACAGCGGTGTTTGATGGTGGGATTTCTTTTCCTACAGGAAGCTGAAACCTTGAGAGCACAAATCCATTTGCAGACGACAGAGATTGCTCTGCTCCAGACTGAAAAGCAAGAACTGCTTCAGCAAATGGTGACCCTGTAGAACTTTTGGACTCTTTGGCTTTTTGTCATTTCTGTGGATAGAAATAGAAGCACTCCTCTGTCTCTTTCAGTTGTCTAGTTTCATTCATAAATAGCTGGGAATTCATACCAGTTTATTTATTTAAAGCCATTTATTTTCCACCTTGAAAGAAAGGCAGCTCAAATGTTGCAGTAAACATTTAAACCGTGTACACAGACAGTAGCAGCCGTCTTGCCCAGTAACCCCATCCTGTTCCTCCCCCTTACTGGCAAGCCAGAACTGGCCCCACAGCAGAGAATGCTGTTGCAGGATGAATGAACCCAAGGGAGGGCCCAAAAGCTCAACTGGTGGATGGGATTCCATTGGGAGAGGAGGAACCCAGACCATGAAGCAGTTCAGAAGTCGCAAGCAGCAGCAGCATCTTGAAGTGGGTTTGGAAACACTCCAGTAACAGGTGCAGCTGTTGAAGCACTCAAGAGATATGATCCAAGCACATGGTTTTTGTGTTGATTGCCATTTCTGAGTCTTCAAACGCAGCCCCAGGTAGGGTGCTTTACAGTAGTCCAGTCTGAAGGATACGGTAGTATAGATCAGCATGGTTACGTAGGTAGAATCTGAATAAGGGGCCGGCTTACGAGGAAGACGTAACTGAAAGCAGGCACTCCTGACAAACCCCGCCAGCCTGTTTCTCCAGGAACAAGGCCAGCTCTGAGAGTGCCTCCCAGCCCTTCACTTGAGCTGCTAAGGAGATCTTGACCCCCCCGTTAAGTTGGGAGACCAATCCCGGTCAAAGGTTCCACCTTCCCAACCGACATCCTCTTCTCCTTCTAATGACAGCCGCCCACATGAGTCGTGTTTCCACAGGCTGTCCTTGAGTCCTGTTGCATTAGCTAAACCAAACCCCAAAATGCGATCCCAGTCTTAGGTTGCCAATGCTTCCTGCCCATCGTTTGCTTCAATCTCTGTTTTGCAGAGTGCAGCACCAGCCCCTGTGCCGGGAGACAGGGGTACAGAGACGGCAGACTTGGAAGGCAGATTCACGGCACTCTTGCAGGAAACGAAGGAACTAAAGGTGGCTCCCGCATGGAACAGGCCGCGTCTTTGATTCAGACATTCAGTGGAGCGTAGCTTTACTGGGCTGAGGGCCTCTTCCTTAGTTGGTTCAGAGTCCCTCGTGTGATTTTACTTGGCTCTTTGTTCCCTGCGTTTATCCCCGTAATACCCTGGTGGGGCAGGTTGAGCTGAGAGAGCAGGCCTGAGCCAAGGTCACCCAGAGAGCTTCCCAGATGGGCAGGGATTTGGAACTGGGTCTCCCGGATGCTGTTCTTGCACTCTAACCACGGTGGCATCCTTTATCAAGGTGTACAGAACTCACCATGGGGCACATCTATCGAACTAGACGTTATATATGATGCCCATTACTTTTGAACCCTCTGCTCCTGGATAGTCCAGCCCCACTCTCTGACATTTCTGGGGGCACAGATGGATGCCTCAGAACAGACCTAGATCTCTGCTTGCAGAGCGTGCATATGGATGGATGCGGTCTCTTCTCCACACCAAGAAGGGAGACCAAGGCAAGGCTCTTGTCTCCAGCAAGGCAAATGCCTCTCCCGCCACAACATGTCCTGTAATTTCCTATTAGGAGACACCCTCCCCCTCTTGTTCTTCATCTGCACGAATGCAGTGTCTGGGAAATGAACACAGGTCCAAATGAGGGATCCAGAACACAGTGCCCATTGCAAGCTGGCCCTACCACCTGCTCCAAGGAAAGGGGCCTTCCTGGAGGATTGGGAACGCCCTCCTGCTTCCTGTAGGGTTTGACAGTGGGGTGTCAGCGAATTGTCTCATTTTCAAGTGATTCTGTGGAGAGGTGAGGAAAAGACATTTCCTGGAAGTTCTTGTCCTCATCAGCTTACACATGCTGGATTTCGAGGCCATGCAGAACTTAAAGGAATGTTGAGGTCCCATCAGGATTAGAGCCCCTGTTAAAGCTGCTGGCCCTGGGGTGGGGGGTGGGGGCTGCTGCATGTGCCATTTTTAAAAATGCCGTTGACACTATTTTGGTTTCTCCCCCATCCCCACCCCCATTACCAGAATGAGATTGTAGGTCTTGCTGAGGAAAGGACGTCACTGAAACAGCAGCTGGACTCCGCCAATAGTACCGCGGCTATTTTGCGAACGGAGAAGAGTGCCTTGCAGCAGGAAATAGCCGAATCTAAAAAAGAGCAGGATGACCTTCTGGTTCTTCTGGCTGACCAGGATCAGAAAATAGTTGCGCTGAAGAATAAGCTCAAGGAACTTGGAGAACCGGTAGGATGCACTTGTACTGAAAATGAGCCTATTGCAAAGTTCAGTTTAAAATGGTTCCTAATCATGCCTAATATCGGCCTGTACCGTTTCTTTGGTGTAGTGGGTTAAGAGCGCAGACTCTGATCTGAGAGAACCAGGTTTGATTCCCCGACTTCTCCACATGCAGCTGCTGGTGTGACCTTAGGTCAGTCACAAGTTCTGTCAGAGCTGTTCTCTCCGGGGCAGTCCTCGAGAGAGCTCTCTCAGCCCCACCGACCTCACAGGGGTGCCTGTTGTGGGCAGGAAAAGGGAAAGGAGTTTGTAAACCACTCTGAGACTCCTTCGGGTAGTGAAGGATGGGATATAAATCCAATCTCTTCTCCTTCCTGCCTATTCCACTCTTCTAGTGGAAAAGATTCTTTGGGCAGCTTGGTGGTAGTGGTGGAAAGTGCCATTAAGTCGCAGCTGACTTCTGGCCAGCCCCGCAGGGTTTCCAAGTCCGGAGGCGTCCAGAGGTGGCTGGCCCTTGCCTGCCTCTGCGTAGCAGCCCTGGACTTCCTCCGTGGCCTCCTGGGCAAAGACCAGCCAGGGGGATGACCCTGCTCCGCTTCTGAGGCCGGACCAGACTGGGCTCTGCTGGGCCATCCAGGTCAGGGCAGTTTGAAGGCTTTATGCCGAGAAGGGAGTGGGGTTAAATCGAACCCGGCTCCCCAGATTAGAGTCTGCTGCTCTTAAGCGCCACGCCATTCTGGCTCTGCTCTGGTGTTGCTCTCTGCCCTGTGGAGATAGATGTGTGTCAGGCAGCCATTGATAAATGTACGCTTTCTAAGTGTAGCCTACAGAGAAAAGCTCAGCCCCTCAGACAGAGCCACATAGTCTCAAACTGCGGGTGGCCTCAGCAGCCCTGCCTCCAGCCTTGCTGTCTCCTGGCTTTGGTTTGCAGCTTGGAGGTCTGCTGCTCTGTGCCCCTTTTCCACCCCCACCACTCGGGCGGCCTTAGAGACCCGAGGAGACTATATGGGAAGCCTCTGCCCGTGGCACGAGGAGGAGGGGGAGGAGCTGGGCCACGGACCCTCCCCTCACCACAGAGGGCTCTGAGCGGCACAGCTGGAGCAGCTCCCCTGCGGGGAGGGGGACATCAGGACCACCCTCCAGTTCTTACACAGGCCGCTTTAGGACATACCTTGAACAGCTTGCTTGCTATAGACAGGTGGTGACCAGAGATGCTAAACATTATGATTTCCTTTCCTTTTTTTGGGGGGGGGGGATCAAAGGTTGAAGATGAGGAGGATACTGAATCTGGTGACCAAGGTGAGGAAGATGAAGAAGATGGAAAAGGAGAGAGAGAAGATTAATTAGGTTTTCATGGGTCAGATATGAGAATCTCGTATTGCATTGAAGCAACACACATTCATGACCCTGCGATGCAGAATACCTCGTTAAGGAAATGGGTATGAGCAGAAGAGCCACTAAATCCACTCCTGAGTTTCTGATGTTGAGAGGTTCTGATAATTTGTAGCCAGAACTGAAGACCACCATTTAATTTTTCTGTCCACATCAGAAGCCTTTCTGGCAGCTGCCAAAGGCATGGAAGGTGACCATGTGGTGAACTTTGCGTGTTGCCATTCACGTCTGTTCAGTATGTTTGTCACGTCATTCTCTTGGAGCTCTGGTGTGATTAAATATGTTGTGTTTGTGGTTTCACATCCATCGAATAGAATCTTTGCTTCCTAAATTTGGCACGGAGAGATCTCGTGGCGTCTTCCTTGCTACCTCTTGTGCCGGATGGGGGAGAGGCCAAGAGGAGGTGGTTCCTTTCGATTTCCTGCTCAGCTGATCTCAGCACTGAGTGCCTTGACACCTGACATGGCTGCATTCTGTACCTTCGAAGATAAAAAAGAAGCTGAAACACTCTGTGGATGGGGAAGGATTTCCTTAGAGATGAAGCAGTATTCGGTAGCATTTTAAAGCAGTTTTTTTTTTTAGAAAACTCTTGAAAAGGTTTAACATGCTGCCAGGTACTCGCTTTAAAAAAGCAAGTTTTTGTTCTAAACATGACATGTGATTATTATAATTTATTGGCTCTCATGCCTAATGGATAAGGTTTTTAAAAGAAAAATTAAACACAGTTGCTGCACCAGCTTGCTGTTTTGGTAATAAAAATAGATGCTATAACCATTTTAGTATTCATTCCCTTGATTTTAGTCATGGTGGTTGCTTATCATTATGAAGGCTGTGCCATTTTATATTGGGGGGGGGGCTTGTTAAAACACCTAGAATTTTCCATCTGGGAAGTTATGCAAACTCTGTAGAGATTGCAGTTTTGTCCAGGTATAGACACAGCTAACAGCACAGTGCTTCTGAATAAAAATCAGCAGGATTCCAGCCAGTTTGTGAGTCACTTTTTTGTTATACAAGATGTAGTTAAGATGCTCTATTTTGTACTTTCCAGTTTGTTGCAATATGGGTAACATTATAAGCAGATTTACAGCAAAATAAATTAGAATGCTACCTCTATTGTAATCCCTCTGTTTGGAAATAAAGATGTTCCTTGTGCAAAATACTTTCTGCAATCAGACCTGGGGCTGTTTGTTCCCACATCTGTTTTCTTCCCGTTTGCAACACAGAGGTTCTCAGAGCCCTGCCCAGAGTGGGACAAAACTGAGATTTCTGGTCTGGGGAGGTGGATTATCTAAGTGACAGAAGTCACTTAGAGCAAGTTGGCTGCTGCACTCGCTCTCCCCACCACCCAGTGCGGCCTCCTCTCTCTGACTGCAGACACCCAAAGCCTCCAGTGGTCTTCCCAGCTCTGCTGCTGACTCAAAGATGCCGTGCCGGTGGGATGCTGTGTCTGCTGCTGATGGCGGGAACAGTCTTTTGCAGAATTCTTTCTTTGCCACAGCATGGTCAATAAACTTTGTACACTACTGGTAATATGTTACACTAGATTTTTTAGGCTACTTCCTCATACCTGGTCTTGGCTGGTAGTTTATATGGAGATTTGAAACATGCCCTGTGCTGAAAGTCTCATGATGAGTAATAGAAGAACAATTTTATGCTGCTGAAAGAATCTTGCAGGTCTGCGGCCAGCAGACACTTGTTGGGACGACGTCCTCCTTAATGTCTGGCGACCACAGATCTGCACAAGCAGCGTAGCTCATTGCAAGTCCCTTCCAGGAAGCAGGTCCTTTTCACACACGAGCTGAAGCAGCCATTTTGTCTTCTGCACACAGTGATCTAGGCCTGCGCTTGTCCTGCTCTGCAGATGGAATTCACGCTCACGTGGTGGCTTTAGAAGCCCAGTGTGGAGAAGCTACTTTCCCTCTGCGCTTTTAGAGCTGTTGCTCAGATTTAATGTTGGCTGAAGCAACATGTTCCAGAGAGCCAGACCCTTGCGTACGACTCCGGATCCAGGAACCAATTCGTACAACGACCTGCACACCAGCAGTACTGATCTTTTGACCTGTGGATGACGTGCTGTTGTGGGTTTAGAAATAGTAAAGAAACAATCAGGAAGTTCACAACAGAGGATGCAGGCCAAGAAATAAAATTTAACAAAGACTCCTCCTGTACAATGAAAAATACCCACCCTGAAGGAGAAAGAAATGGAGGGAGAGATCTCTAGCTGCCAACAGTGGGGTTCATGGGAGAACCACCCAGGGCTGTAGAGTTCCAGGGGACTGGGCAGTAAGGGACCAAAGCAAGACGCCCAGGCTTGGCAGTTTGCCAGATGGGGCAGGCAGAAGCTGCAGAAAGATTTTAATGTCTTTTTGTACAACACCTTGAATCAGTGTTTACAGTGGGAAAGGCAGGATATAAAGGGTAAAGGTTTCCCTTGGTCAAAAGCTAGTCAAATCCGTACCTTTAGGGAGCGGTGCTCAACTCCATTTCCAAGCTGAAGAGCCAGCACTGTCCGAAATCATTTCCGTGGTCATGTGGCCGGCATGACTAAATGCTGAGGTGCACGGAACACTGCTACTTTCCCACCGAAGCAGTACCTATTTATCTACTTGCAGTTTCTTGTTTGCGAACTGCTAGGTTGGAAGGAGCTGGGGCCAGAGATGGGAGCTCACTCCGTCACGTGGCACTCAGGTCTCGAACTGCCGAACTACAAAACTTGCGGTCTGCAGCTCAGCGTCTTAACTTCTGAGCCACTGTGGCCCCCTAAAGGCAGGATACAAATGTTCTAATAAAATCTGTTCTTTGTAGGGCAATTAGGTGGGGGCCCAACTTTGCCAGTGGGGAAGAATTTGGTTTGGCCTAGAAGGGAACAATTAAAACTTTATGAATGGTGGAGATCATGGCCGGTAGTGGCACTTCTGGATGAGGTGATTGGTGTGTTAGGGTAAGGTCCAGCCAAAGTGGTAACAGGTGGCTATCATAAAGGTTGCAAAGAACATACTTTGTGGGATGGGGCCTGTTACTGTAGGAAAGGGGGAATTGTGCCTTTCCTTGCTTGGAAACTCCCTTACACCAAGGGTTCCCTGGAAAGTAGCCTGGTAACCACCACTCACCCACTCCTGAGAACATCTAGACTAACTTCCTGAGAAGGTACTCTTCCAGCGCAGTTCTAGAGCCATGACAAAATCATTTACAATACAACCAGTGCAGTAGCACCCAAGCAGTCTTGTACATGGGGAAGAGATTAAGAGGAGCAAGGAGACAACTTATTATACACTAAACACGAGAAATTTCAATAAAGGGAAAAAAATCTCAACACTAAACATTCGTGGTACATAGTCTTTGTACATAAGGCACATTACGAAGGACTTCTGGATAGCACATCAGCAGTTACATTGTTCTTGCCTGTAATGTGTCTGATCTCAAATTCAAAGTCCTGCAGGGCTAAGCTCCTATGCAAAAACTTGGCATTAGTCATTTTGGCCTTGTTGAGCCATAACAGTGGGAAGTGATCTGTGCACAGGGTGAACTTCTTCCCCCAAAGGTATGGGCACAGTTCAGAGGACTATTGACAGACATTCCTCTTCAGGATTGGCCAGGGTTGGTTCTTGTGGAAGGACCTTGCAAGTGAAATAGACAATTGGATACAGGTTTCCTGTGCCGTCAGCTTGGAACAAAGCAGTGCCCAGGCACCTTTTGGAAGGATCAATGTGGGCCTCAAAAGCTTTCTGAAAGTTGGGTGCAGCCAAGATGGGTTGTGAGGCAGAGTTTTAACTTATCAAAGGTTACAGCAATTGTGCTGTAGCCCTCTACATATCGGTGAATTATCCAGCAAGCCCCAAAAAGGATTGAACCTGCCTCCTGTAGCTGTATCTATTGATGGTTGGACACCACCCCAGGAAATTTGGCCGAGGGTCTGAAGGCTGTGGCGAGATGGCTGAGGCTGAAGCACAGCTGGCTGAAACTGAATCCGTCAAAGATGGAGGTTCTCTGGCTGGGTGGAGGAGACTCAGGGCTGCGGTGCCAACTCCTGACCCTTGATCATGCACCTTTAACACCAGCGCAGATGGTCAAGAGTTTGGGTGTCCTTGTTAACAGAGGCCCAGGTCACAAATGTTGCCAGGCTGGCATTTTTACAACTATGCCGGGTCAGGCAACTGGCCCCCTACCTGTTCCAAAAAACAGCAGAGGTTGCTTTGGAGAGTGCTGATATTAAGAACAGGAGACAAATTCTATTAGGATCAGATCCAAATATTATTCAGCACTACAAAGAGATTGTACAAGTTATAAAGCCATTGCTTATCAGTGATAGACCCCCAAATACTCACCCCTGTTCTACAAATGGGTGGCACGACTCAGAAACTTGAAGAAACTAATAATCAAACAAATGAGATTTAACTAGACAAAGTAGGGAGCCCCACCAGCTCCAACAATTAAACAATTAAAGCCTGGCTGAAGATCTCCCTTCTGGTCGCCAAACGACCAAGGACTGCCTTACGTCAGCTTACAAAGCAGGAGGTGGGTGGTGGGTGGAGGGGTCTCGCTTCCACACAAAAAGGGTCCTTGTGGGGAAAGGGAGCTGAACTTTTCCTCAGGCCTGATCTCCTGGCCTCTTTTACGCCAGACCTTTCCCTCCCAGCCCAGCTCGATTCCACCAGCAGAACCAGGCCGTGGGGGGAAGGAGACTGCTGATTGGCACTGGGTGTGGGGTATGCAGTTCTGGAATGCTTCAATTGCAATACATAACAGCAGTCCTCCTTGCCTGCACACCCCATGATGTAAAAAGTAGACCCCTCCCAGCCCCCACCTGCTGCTTCAGTTGCAATTCAGGCAGCCCTTTGCCTATCTGATTCAAATCCTGTACTTCTCACCACCACCCCGTGCGCCATGGCCTGGCCAGAGCCTGGGACAGCCCTCTAGCACTGGAGCAAACCCTGGTGCTGATCAAGGTCAGGAAGCAATTTGGCTAGAGATCCTGGAGGTTTTTTATCACCTTCTGGGCGTGGAACAGCAGTCACTGGGGGTGGGGGAGGTATTTGTGAATTTCCTGCCTTGTCCAGGGGGTTGGACTAGATGACCCTGGAGGCCCCTTCCAACTCTATGATTCTGAGTCCGGGAAGCAGCCGCCGTGCACATGCACTAACTGGGTGGGTCTTCGAGGGGCCCCTGGGCTAGCCTGAGTCCAGGGGACTTGCCTTTTGTCCCATGTCTTCATGGCTGTCAAAGATGGCAGCCACACCGACAGCACTGCCACGGGCCGAGAGCACGTACCCCCCCCCCAGTCTGGTCCATTGAGGGAAGGGAGCAAAGGATCTTGCCTACCCTGCCGGTGGGGGGTGAGAAAATGCCTGGCAACCTCGGACCTTTTTTTTTCTTTCTTTCACTCCTCTCTCCCCATCTGTTCAAGATCTTTGTTAGGACTGAATTACAAAGGCAGGAAAAGCAAGATATAGGTAAAACCCCAACATTCTTTGCACATCATCACTACACATGCATAATGTTACTACAGCAACTCTGAAATATTGTTGTTGTTGTTCAGTCGCACAGTCGAGTCCGACTCTTCGCGACCCTATGGACAAGATCTTGCCAGGCCCTCCTGTTTTCCGCCGTCCTCTGAAGTTTGCTCAATTTCATGTTCGTTGCATCAGTGACACTGTCTAACCATCTCATCCTTTGCCGTCCCCGTCTTCTTTGACCTTCAATCTTTCCCAGCATCAGGGTCTTCTCCAGGGAGTGCTCCCTTCTCATTTGGTGGCCAAAGTATTTGAGCTTCAGTTTCATTATCTGGCCTTCCAGGGAACAGTCAGGGTTGATTTCTTTGAGGATTGACTGATTTGTTCTTCTTGCAGTCCAAGGGACTCTCAAGAGTCTCCTCCAGCACCATAGTTCAAAAGAATCTATTCTTCGGCGCTCGGCCTTCCTTATAGTCCAACTCTCACAGCCATACATGACTACTGGGAATACCATTGCTTTGACCATGCGGACTTTTGTTGGCAGGGTGATGTCTCTACTTTTTATCATGCTGTTTAGGTTCGCCATCACTTTCCTCCCAAGGAAATCTTACAATCTAGCCAGAAATAGTCTTACTCCAAGGACATTTCTTGTGTGAAAGATGCCTTGGGGCCCCTTAGGAAAATTAC